AAAACATGCATTTTCATAACTTAGCGAACTGAAACTGAACTGAAAATTTTAAAATGGCCATAACTCGAAAACGGTTCGTTTTTTGGAAAAACCGAGCAATTTTTTGCACCATAGGGGACGCTTTACCACCCCATTTTACGGGAATCCGGTATCGGTTTCCCCATTTTCTTGATTTTGATACCCCCGCCGGCATCGTATAGAATATTGCGAGCCTACCTCGATTTAAAATTTAAAACTTGAATGGATAGGAGGAACATCGGAAACCTACCAGGCTATAGTGGTTACGAATCCGCACCACTCTACGCGTATTATAATGAGCTCGGTACGAAAATTCGCTTATTTTTCGCCTCCGACGCACCCTTACCGAGATAAGGCCCTTATTCGTATTTTTTTTTTCGATTTTAAAATGGCCATAACTCGAAAACGGTTCGTCCAATCAAAAAAAGGACAAAATTTTCACCCCAAAGGGGTCGCTTCTCACCCCCCTTTACTCTTAGGAGACATTTTCTCCGATTTTTTTTTTCAAAAATTACAAAATTCGAGGGGGTAAAATTTGGAGGGGGGGGTTGAGACTTTGTCAGTCGATTCCCCACGCCGAGTCGGCCGGTCCACCTATTTAATGACGCCGAGGCCGGTACGAAAATTCGCTTATTTTTCGCCTCCGACGCACCGCTTCCGAGATACGGCCTTTTTTCGAAAATTTTTCGAAAATGTCGAAATCGCGAAAACGGCTCGTCGGATCGAAAAACGCACGAAATTTTTACCCCAGAGGGGTCGCTTCATACCCCCCTTTACCCTTAGAAGACATTTTCTCCGATTTTTTTTTTTCAAAAATTACAAAATTCGAGGGGGTAAAATTTGGAGGGGGGGGTTGAGACTTTGTCAGTCGATTCCCCACGCCGAGTCGGCCGGTCCGCCTAATCAATGAAGCCGAGGTCGGTACGAAAAGTCGCTTATTTTTCGCCTCCGACGCACCGTTTCCGAGATACGGCCCTTTTTCGAAAATTTTTCGAAAATGTCGAAATCTCGAAAACGGCTCGTCGGATCGAAAAACGCACGAAATTTTCGCCCCAAAGGGGTCGCTTCTCACCCCCGTTTACCCTTAGAAGGCATTTTCTCAGATTTTTTTTTTCAAAAATTACAAAATCCGAGTGTGTAAAATTTGATTTGTCAGTCGATTCCTCACGCCGAGTCGGCCGGTCCGCCTAATTAATGGCGCCGAGGCCTCCGACGCACCGTTTTCGAGATACGACGATTTGAAAATTTTGAAAATTTTTCCAAAAAACCGCCGTATCTCGGAAACGGTTCGTCGTAGCGAGAAACGGAGCGAATTTTCGCCCCAAAGGGGACGGTTTCCGACCCCGTTTTACCCGGATCCGACATCGTTTCCGCCATTTTCCGGAAAAAAGTTCTTTCGGAGGCGGTAACTCCGCCCCCCGCGCGCCGCTTTTATGCGGGGACTAGGGCGGTATCTGATCGCCTTCGAACCTCTAACTTTCGTTCTTGATCAATGAAAACGTTTTTGGCAAATGCTTTCGCTTCTGTCCGTCTTGCGACGATCCAAGAATTTCACCTCTAACGTCGCAATACGAATGCACCCATCCGTTCCTATTAATCATTACCTCGGGGTTCCGAAAACCAACAAAATAGAACCGAGGTCCTATTCCATTATTCCCTGCACACAGTATTCAGGCGAAGTTTTAGCCTGCTTTAAGCACTTGTTCAAAGTAAACGTGCCGGCCCACCACGACACTCAATGAAGAGCACCGCGGCAGGATTGAGTTGGACCGCCCGCGTGAACGGGCTAAGTCCACCGGCAGGACGTCTCGCGGCACGCCAGTTAACACCGCGGACGATGAACCGGCGGCGCGAGACACAAATTCGACTACGAGCTTTTTAACCGCAACAACTTTAATATACGCTATTGGAGTTGGAATTACCGCGGCTGCTGGCACCAGACTTGGCCTCCAATTGATCCTCGTTAAAGGGTTTAGAGTGTACTCATTCCGATTACGGGGCCTCGGATGAGTCCCGTATCGTTATTTTTCGTCACTACCTCCCCGCGCTGGGAGTGGGTAATTTGCGCGCCTGCTGCCCTCCTTGGATATGGTGGTAGCCGTTTCTCAGGCTCCCTCTCCGGAATCGAACCCTGATTCCCCGTTACCCGTTACGACCATGGTAGGCGCAGAACCTACCATCGACAGTTGATAAGGCAGACATTTGAAAGATGCGTCGCCGGTGCGAGACCGTGCGATCAGCGTAAAGTTATTCAGAGTCACCAAGTTGAACGATGTCGGGCGCGAACCCGCCACCGATTGGTTTTGATCTAATAAAAGCACTCCTTCCGTCTCCGGTCGGACCTCTGTTTGCATGTATTAGCTCTAGAATTACCACAGTTATCCAAGTAATTGTGGGTACGATCTAAGGAACCATAACTGATTTAATGAGCCTTTCGCGGTTTCACCTCGAATTTGCGTATACGGATCGCCTTTGTATGCGGACCGCCTCCGTATGCGGACCGCCTTCGTATATGGATCGCCTCGGTATACGGACCGCCTCCGTATGCGGACCGGCTCCATATACGGAACGCCTTTATATACGGACCGCCTCCAAATACAGACCGCCTTCGTATACGGACCGCCTTGATATACAGAACGCCTCCATGTACTGATCGCCTCCATATACGGATCACCTCCATATACGGACCGCTATTATATACGGACCGTCTCTAAATACAGACCGCCTTCCTATACGGACCGCCTCCATATACTGATCGCCTCCATATACGGATCACCTCCATATGCGGAACGCCAATATATACGGACCGTCTCTAAATACAGACCGCCTTCGTATACGGACCGCCTCCATATACGGACCGCTTCCATATAGGGATCGCCTCCATATACGGAACGCCTTTATATACGGACCGCCTCCAAATACAGACCGCCTTCGTATACGGACCGCCTCGATATACGGACCGCCTCCATATACTGATCGCCTCCATATACGGATCACCTCCATATGCGGACCGCCATTATATACGGACCGTCTCTAAATACAGACCGCCTTCGTATACGGACCGCCTCCATATACGGACCGCTTCCATATAGGGATCGCCTCCATATACGGAACGCTTTTATATACGGACCGCCTTGATATACAGACCGCTTCCATATATTGATCGCCTCCATATACGGACCACCTTCATATACAGACCGCCATTATATACGGAACGTCTCTAAATACAGACCGCCTTTGTATACGAACCGCCTCCATATACAGACCGCCTCTCTATACGGACCGCCTCCAAATACAGACCGTCTTCGTATACGGACCGCCTCGATATACAGACCGCTTCCATATATTGATCGCCTCCATATACGGACCACCTCCATATACAGACCGCCATTGTATACGGAACGTCTCTAAATACAGACCGCCTTTGTATACGGACCGCCTCCATATACAGACCGCCTCTATATGTAAACCGCTTCCATATGCGGACCGGCTTTATATACGGACCGCTTCCAAATACAGACCGCCTTTGTATACGGACCGCCTTGATATACAAACCGCTTCAATATACAGACCGCCTTCGTATACGAACCGCCTCCATATACAGACCGCCATTATATACGGACGGTCTCTAAATGCAGACCGCCTTCGTATATGAACCGCCTCCATATACAGACCGCCTCTATATGTAAACCGCTTCCATATGCGGACCGGCTCCATATATAGACCGCCTGCATATATAGACCGAGTCCATTTATAGACCGCCTCCATGTACAGATCGCCTTTATATACAGACCGCCCCATATATAGGTCGTCTCTATATATAGACCGCTTCCATAACCGAAGCTAACCAAAATGGACCAAAGTGAAGTATATAGACCGTCTAAACGGTAAACCGCCTCGGTGGTGGTTGGCATCACCAAAGCGATAACCGAAACTAACCAAAATGGACCAAAGTGACGTATTGCCTAGACCGTGAACCTCTTCGGTGGCGGTTTGATATCTAATTAAAACTAATAAAAAAACCGATCAAAATTTAGAATTGAACATCACCATGATTCAGAACGTTTTGAAATTGAAATAAAAATGTTAAGATATGTGATTACGTATTTTTGAAACGTTCGTCTCGAAACGTTTCGTTCGACGTTAAAGGAAAAAGGAATGGGAATGGGCAAATAAATTTATTTCATTTTTATTTATTATCGAAAACGAATTCTTTAAAAAACGATTTGGCGGTTCTAAAAAGAACCTTGAAGGTCGCCTGAAATATAACAAATTAGTATTGATAATAAAAAATCCTTGGCCGGTTGTGAACGTCTCGTAGATCTGAAACATTAAAAAAAAAAGGATTAGTTACGTTATGAGATAGTGTGTCGCGAATCGGGTTATCGTCGTATTTTTCTCTATCGTTCGATTGTCCGCGGTATCGAACGTAACGAATAATTTCGACCCTCGTGATGGGATTAAAGTCAAAATCGGGTAAAAGTCTCAATCGGGTGAACGTCTTTGTCGGGTTAGAGTTTTAATCGGGAAAAAGTCATCGTTCGTACCGGCGGCAGGAAATATTGGAACTCGTGTACTTAATAAAAATTTGGAAAATGTAATATTTTTATTTGGTAAAAGTCGTGATCGAGTAAACGTCATAATTGGGTAAAAAGTCACGATCGGGTGAAAAGGCTATATTGGGTAAAGGACGTCGTCGGTAAAAAGTCGCCCTCGGTTACAAGTTATTATCGGTGAACTGTCATCGTTGTGTGGTAAAATCGGAACGAAAATGGGGTCGTAAAATGGAAACGAAAATGTAAAAAGTGGCAAATTTTCGAATTCAATTGAAGATTTTATCTAAAAACGCCCTATAAACGATATTCTGCGTGAAAACTGGATTATTTTTGCGACCGTCTTTAAAGAAACGACCCTGTCTACGACTTTCCTTTACAAAAATGCGAATATCCTGCCAAGTACGCACTCTGGACAAAGCGACGTACAATTGACCGTGAGCAAAACAAGGGACGTTGAGACACAAACCGACTCGCGAAAGAGTCTGTCCTTGCGCTTTGTTGATAGTAATTGCGTGCGCCAACTTAATCGGAAATTGTTTTCTATAGAATGTGCCGCCGCCCGGTAGCAATGGCGTTTCTTTTTCCTTTAAAACGAATTGTTTTCTGATAATGACACATTTACGGCCCTGAAATTGACCGGAAACGATGCGGCCGACTATCACGTCATCGCCCATCTCCAAAACGATCATTCTCTGTCCGTTACAAAAACCCCTCCGCACGTTAAGATTTACCAAAAGGACTACCACCGAACCGATCTTCAAAGTCAACCGATGTGGCGGTAGTCCCGACAAATCTAAACTTTCGATAATTTCACTGGTGACTCCCGTCGCGAGGGGATTGGCGATTTCGTGATCGTCGGCCCCATCCTCGTTACTCTGTCTATCGTAGGAATTGGTCGCCAAAAAGACCCTCTCCGATCCTGACGGATCGGGGAAGATTTTTGAGATGATTTCGTTCAACTCCTCGACCTCGCTGTTCACGGGACAAAGGATCGACCGGAGGGCCAATCGCTCGGCTAATTCCAAGAATCGCTCGTTCGTCCCGGGAAGAGCGAGCATCGATTCGAAGACGTCCCCGTAAACAAAGTCGACGAGTTGTTCGCGCGATTTGACAATTAATTTGGAAGGAACGAACAGACAGTTATCGGAAATCGGTTCGCGTCCGTTGTCCGAAACGATTCTTTCCCCGTAGCCTACTCTCCTGATGAAATTCGACCATTCCACCTCTTGCGGATAAACACGCATGTTTTCCGTTAACGTGCACAGTTGAAAAGTACTCCATGCCGGACGCGAAATGATGGACGCCATTCCCGCTCGCCTACCCTTGACAACGGGAAGCAACTGCTTGGGATCGCCGCTAAGAATAACGGTTTTCCCACCGAACGGCCGTCGCGATTGACCGTATTCCCGACACACGGCATCGATCATTTCCAACATCCACGACGCCAACATAAACACCTCGTCTAACACGACGAGTCTCGCGTTTCGAATATCGTCGGCCGCCTCCGACTCGCCCACCAAATTAGAAACCGGCGTATCGTCTACGCCTCTTTCTCTAGGAATGCCGAAAGAAGAATGAATCGTAGCCGCGTTCCGGATTAACGTGGCCGCGATCCCCGTAAAAGCCGCGGATACGTACGGTAACGCGCGAAGTTCCGTTACTTCCAAAATAACGTTGACGGTCGCGGTTTTGCCGGTGCCCCCTTCGCCGGTCAAAACGAAAACGATACCGTTACGATTGCATACAGACTGTAAAACCTCGTAAACGAATCCCAGCTGTTGATCGTTGAGATCGATCAGATGCAAATTTTGATTCGGTCTCGGAACGAAAGCGAATTCCTCGAACGTAACCTCTTCCTCGTCCAAAAGTTGTTCCGCCTCCTCGTCGTAAACCCAATCGGAAATCCAATCCCGAGGAAGATTAATTTTTTCCATCGAAGTGGAGCATTCGACCAGAAATCGATCTACGAAACTCCAAAGGACCGTATACCGACACGTACGGAGCACGTGCATCCTTTCGTTTAAGTCGCCCGCGCCCTCTTCGTCGATATCTCTGATTAAATCGATATGAATCCTAAGCACATCCGCGGACATACGCCTGCACCATCTCTTAAATAAAGTTCGGGGATTCTTCGACGGATTGTACAAGAGAATTAGAGCGAACGCTTCCCTTAAATAAAACGGATGACGAAGACGATCCGCTATCCAATCTAAAATCTTGTCCGCCTCTTCGTCGTCGTCCGGGATCAATTTTAACGCTACGCAAGCGGCCTGATACGAAGGACATAAAACGCCGTTTACGGTTTTCGCGTCCACGAACGAAATCAAACCTGTCACGTTGCCCAAAATCATTCGTAGATAGTAGCGCTCCATATTCCCCGGACTCGGATAAACCGGACTCATACGACCTATAGAACTGGTGGGTCGCGACGTGGCGACCCAACGACCTTGCCGCCAAGAGTGCGTTTCGACGATGTCGACGTAGAACCGTCGCCGACCCGTCGCCTCCTCCGCCGCGTTCAATTCGAACCAAGCGGCGAGCTTAGAACGCTCGCCCCTTTCGACTACGGCCACCTCGTCCCCTTCCCTGTAAATTTCACAAGTCTCTCCTTCCAAATGCACGGGCAACTTTTCGATCGTGTGACTGATATGGAACATGCCATTTCCCAAGATGCGATAGACCGCCTCGTGCGGTCCGATATATCTCATTTTAAGGAATGCCGCCGCCTCGTTCCAATCGATCGTACCGGTGGTCGTATTCACTTGCATCTCAACGCATTGGATGTTCGCTACGTCTAACCCCTTATTGACGTAGGCGTTAATGTATCGACACACCTGGATCGGGTTTCCGACGCAAAGTTCCAAATTCGTTGCCGACGAAACGATTTTGTTGCCTGTTAAAAAAGCAAACACCCGGAGGACGTCTGTAAAGAATTTGCTTCTCGATCTTAAAAACGGTGCTCGATATTTGCTGTTTCGGATATTTCCACCGGCATCGATCGGCAACGGTCCAGCAAGGCGGTCTTCTGACCCTCGAATTTTCGACACCTATCTCCCCCTCTTGTTCCTCCTCCTCGTCATTGTCGTCGATTTCCTGTTCGACGTTTTCCGGTTCGATATCGCACTTGTTATGTATCATGAACGTGTTGACCAAGTGACGAAGCGATTCGAAACCGTTACCGTCCGAAGGTTCGGGCCATCTCGCCCAAATGACCCTATCCACATCCTCTCCCGAAACGGGAACGTCTTCTCTGGACAAATAGAGAAGGATATGCGCGTGCGGAGCGCCGCGTTTTTGGAATTCTACCCTGACAACGTATCCTTCGATTTTCCCTAAGATTTGACGCTCGGTCAAATCTCCCATCAAGGCATTCAATTTTTGTTCGAATACGCGACACAAAACCTCCGGAAAGTTTCCTATGTCGGACACGGATTTGTCGCGGCGGTTCATCTCGTCGATTACCTCTTGCCAATTTTTGTTTGACGTGAACGTGAGAAGGTAAGTGGGAACTCTTCTCAATTTCGCGCACAAAGCCAAACTGTCTAGATAACCGTTGTGGTAGTACCGCCTGGTACCGGGAATCGTAGCCGGTAAGATGATGATGCGACCGGGACGTACGCGAGCTAGACCTTCATTTCCCTCGTTTATTTCCGCCGTCCGCATTTCCAAGAACCTTTTCAAACTATCGTAGGTATCGGATCGTAATACCTTTTGATTTTTTTCCGCCCAAGAAACGTCGTTGTACTCGATTTTGACGGCGGCGTCGATGATGTATTGTAAACGCAATTTACCTACCAAATCCAAGACATTCCAATAACGACCGCCCTTTGTCCTCGGAATATCCGATAACAACCGAAATCTGTAATATTGTCTCAACGTGTTGACCTTGTCGGCGGATTCGTTCCAAGAACTCTCCGCGTGCAAATGAACCAAAGAATACAACATTAGATCTAGTGTGGCCGTGATAACGAAAATCTCTCTATACGGCAAAGCCGCGTCCTCCTCCAACGGTCTTGGAACAAACTCCACGTCGTAATAGCAAGGGGGCCTGTCCCCGATGTAAATACCCGCGATCGTTTCGTTTCTCGGAAATTGAAGTCCCGAGATGCGAGCCGCGGCTTCGGATATCCTCCTACGGTGGTATCCCGCTTTACGTGGACCGTTTCGTTCGTCCTTGATCCGCGGATTAACGCATAAAACAATTTCCCTAACTTCCCTGTTATTGACGGCGGCGTTTTCGACCTCCTCTCTATATAATTGGCCTGCCCATTTAAAAATTTTACATAATCGATTTTCCCGTCTTAAATACGATTCAAATGAATCGACAACGTCCTCGGATAATTGTCCCGAAACGGTGGAAAAAGACCTTCACAAATTGGCCGTGTTTTCCGATACATCCATGAAATAAAGATGCGCCTCGTTAAAACGACGATTTCCTGTTCGATGCGAATCCGCCATAAACCTCACTTGACGATTGATTACCGCGGTCGATGTAGCCGGACAGCCCGATCCGTACATCCCTAGACCGGCGTAATTGCCCCTGGGATGGGCCATAGCGAAAATGCTATTATAGGCCCTGGAAAATTTTCCAAAATGCCGCATTAATTCATACTCGTCTACGTTCAATTTTCCTCCGGCGTACAATTTGAGAAGGTTCAAATCGACCGGTTTCTTAAAGAACGCGTCTTCGCCCAAGACATTACGACCGGAAGAACAACATAACTCGCTTCGACCCGTTTTTAGATACAATTCGGAAAACCAAAAAGCAGCCCCGCAAAATGTACAAAACCACCTTTCCCTTCCTAGATAATGAGTTTCGATTAAATCAAAATCAACGTCCTCGTGATATACGGCATTTTGATAAAAATTGTTGATTCTCTCGTTTCGAATACGCCACTCTCGCTTGTGCGTATCGAACGGAGGTAGAGGGTGCCAAGCGCGACCCACTCTACCGCGGATGACCGGCCTCGAAGCTTCCGCCACCGATTCCGCGATGGAATCCAAATCGTCTTCGCCAACGACAGACGGCTCCGATTCCCTGACGTTCTCGACGACGGAATCCCGGACAAAAGTGTCCATGACCTCCACACCTGACCTAGACAAATCGAAACTGCGCCGCATTTCGATATAACAATCGTAATGATTGTGTCCACTGTATCTTAACAAAATCGGATTGGTATCGTCCATTCTTCCCTGATCTAAGAGAATTTTTCCATTTTTGATGATCAAAAACCTCCTATTATAAAACGAAGAAAGTGCGAAAACTTCCATGGCGGAACCCCATTCGCCGTTTTTTGACATGACATTTTTGTAATCATCAAAATTTGTAAAATCGGTCCAAACCGCTAGATCGTTCCAATTGTTTTCCGCCGCCGCGACCGCGTTCGATCTTACCTGGAAATGTTGCCGGTCGTTACCGTGCAATCCCACGGCGATAGAACGAAACAAGCAATTCCCGTCGCCGGCCGCCACTCGATACCGTCCGTATCGATCGCTTCTATTTTGTTCGCTTTCCATTATTATTTTCGACTAGAAACTTCTGAATAAAAAAAAAGAAAAACGCGAATAAATTATACGATAAAATGTGTAAGAACGCATAAATCGACACATATTTAAAGAAAAACGTTAAAAAAAAATTAGAACATTTAAAATTTAATAAGAACCGTCAAAATAACAGAACGATATCGCGACGTTCTGTATACAATTTAAATTTAAAGAAGGAAATAAAAAAAACGAAAACGAAAATATCGTTCGCTAGAAACAAACGATATAATAACGTAACACATAGAACCAATGTAAAGAAAATGAGACACCCTGTATGTGATTAGAAGCACGGAGTACGTGTGATGGTGTAAAAACAGAGTTACGCAACCCGCACATGATTTTACGTAGGAAATAATTTAAAGACATCCGGTATGTTTTTAAAAAATTTAATTTAAAATTATAAAGCCAAAGATGCAAAAACATTAGCAAATTTAAATCGAAATACTCATTTACCGCGGGGAACGATATCGCGACGTCCTGTATACAATTTAAATTCAAAGAAGGAAATAAAAATAACGAAAACGAAAGTATTGTTGACTCAAAAGAAGCGATATAATAACGTAACACATAGAACCAATATAAAAAAATGGGACAACCTGTATGTGATTAAAAGCAAACTACCTTATCGAAGAACGTGTGATGGTGTAAAAACAGAGTTACGCAACCCGCGCATGATTAAACGTAGGAAATAATTTAAGGACATCCGGTATATTTTTAAAAAACTAATTTTAAATTTATGAAGTCAGAGATGCAAAAACTTTAACAAAATTAAATCGAAATATTCATTTGCCGCGGGGAATAATATCGCGACGTCTTGTATACAATTTAAATTCAAAGAAGGAAATAAAAATAACCAACACGAAAATATCGTTCGCTCGAAACAAACGATATAATAACGTAACACATAGAACCAATGTAAAGAAAATTGGACAACCTGTATGTGATTAAAAGCAAACTACTTTATCGGAGTACGTGTGATGGTGTGAAAACAGAGTTACGCAACCAGCGTATGATTTTACTTAGGAAATAATTTAAGGACATCCGGTATATTTTTAAAAAACTAAATTTAAAATTATGAAGCCAGAAATGCAAAAACATTTACAAAATTAAATCGAAATACTCATTTATCGCGGAAAAGGATCTTACAACGTCCTGTATACAATTTAAATTGAAAGAAGGAAATAAAAATAACGAACACGAAAATATCGTTCGCTCGAAACAAACGATATAATAACGTAACACATAGAACCAATGTAAAGAAAATGGGACAACCTGTATGTGATTAGAAGCAAACTATCTTATCGGAGTACGTGTGATGGTGTAAAAACAGAGTTACGCAACCCGCGCATAATTTTACGTAGGAAATAATTTAAAGACATCCGGCATATTTTTAAAAAATTAAATTTAAAATTATAAAGCCAAAGATGTAAAAACATTAGCAAATTTAAATCGAAATACTCATTTACCGCGGGGAACAATATCGCGACGTCCTGTATACAATTTAAATTCAAAGAAGAAAATAAAAATAACGAAAACGAAAGTATCGTTGACTTAAAAGAAGCGATATAATAACGAAACACATACAACCAATGTAAAGAAAATGGGACAACCTGTATGTGATTAAAAGCAAACTACCTTATCGGAGTACGTGTGATGGTGTGAAAACAGAGTTACCCAACCCGCGCATGATTTTACGTAGGAAATAATTTAAGGACATCCGGTATATTTTTAAAAAACTAAATTTAAAATTATGAAGCCAGAGATGCAAAAACTTTAACAAAATTAAATCGAAATATTCATTTGCCGCGGGGAATAATATCGCGACGTCTTGTATACAATTTAAATTCAAAGAAGGAAATAAAAATAACGAAAACGAAAGTATCGTTGACTTAAAAGAAGCGATATAATAACGAAACACATACAACCAATGTAAAGAAAATGGGACAACCTGTATGTGATTAAAAGCAAACTACCTTATCGGAGTACGTGTGATGGTGTGAAAACAGAGTTACCCAACCCGCGCATGATTTTACGTAGGAAATAATTTAAGGACATCCGGTATATTTTTAAAAAACTAAATTTAAAATTATGAAGCCAGAGATGCAAAAACTTTAACAAAATTAAATCGAAATATTCATTTGCCGCGGGGAATAATATCGCGACGTCTTGTATACAATTTAAATTCAAAGAAGGAAATAAAAATAACCAACACGAAAATATCGTTCGCTCGAAACAAACGATATAATAACGTAACACATAGAACCAATGTAAAGAAAATTGGACAACCTGTATGTGATTAAAAGCAAACTACTTTATCGGAGTACGTGTGATGGTGTGAAAACAGAGTTACGCAACCAACGTATGATTTTACTTAGGAAATAATTTAAGGACATCCGGTATATTTTTAAAAAACTAAATTTAAAATTATGAAGCCAGAAATGCAAAAACTTTTACAACATTAAATCGAAATACTCATTTATCGCGGAAAAGGATCTTACAACGTCCTGTATACAATTTAAATTGAAAGAAGGAAATAAAAATAACGAACACGAAAATATCGTTCGCTCGAAACAAACGATATAATAACGTAACACATAGAACCAATGTAAAGAAAATGGGACAACCTGTATGTGATTAGAAGCAAACTATCTTATCGGAGTACGTGTGATGGTGTAAAAACAGAGTTACGCAACCCGCGCATAATTTTACGTAGGAAATAATTTAAAGACATCCGGCATATTTTTAAAGAATTAAATTTAAAATTAGAAAGCCAAAGATGTAAAAACATTAGCAAATTTAAATCGAAATACTCATTTACCGCGGGGAACAATATCGCGACGTCCTGTATACAATTTAAATTCAAAGAAGAAAATAAAAATAACGAAAACGAAAGTATCGTTGAGTTAAAAGAAGCGATATATTAACGAAACACATACAACCAATGTAAAGAAAGTGGGACAACCTGTATGTGATTAAAAGCAAACTTCCTTATCGGAGTACGTGTGATGGTGTGAAAACAGAGTTACCCAACCCGCGCATGATTTTACGTAGGAAATAATTTAAGGACATCCGGTATATTTTTAAAAAACTAAATTTAAAATTATGAAGCCAGAGATGCAAAAACTTTAACAAAATTAAATCGAAATACTCATTTGCCGCGGTGAACAATATCGCGACGTCCTGTATACAATTTAAATTGAAAGAAGGAAATAAAAATAACCAACACGAAAATATCGTTCGCTCGAAACAAACGAAATAATAACGTAACACATAGAACCAATGTAAAAAAAATGGGACAACCTGTATGTGATTAAAAGCAAACTACCTTATCGAAGAACGTGTGATGGTGTAAAAACAGAGTTACGCAACCCGCGCATGATTTTAGGTAGGAAATAATTTAAGGACATCCGGTATATTTTTAAAAAATTAAATTTAAAATTATAAAGCCAGAGATCGAAATACTCATTTACCGCGGGGAACAATATCGCGACGTCCTGTATACAATTTAAATTCAAAGAAGGAAATAAAAATAACGAAAACGAAAGTATCGTTGACTCAAAAGAAGCGATATAATAACGTAACACATAGAACCAATGTAAAGAAAATGGGACAACCTGTATCTGATTAGATGCAAACATTTTTATCTGAGTATGTGTAATCGTGTGAAAACAGAGTTACGCAACCCGCGTATGATTTTACATAGGAAATAATTTAAGGATAACCGGTATATTTTTAAAAAATTGAACATGACGCTAGAGATGTAAAAACCAATGCAAAGAAAAAAAAACACGAAAATATATTAGCGAGAGATAGTCGCAACTCGAAAACTTTTTCTTCATGTCCGGGTAGGAGCACATAGCAATAGAAATATATTTAATTACCTTAAAAAAAGAAAATCAATCACAATTAACTTTCTCGGGTGCACTTTTAAAACAAACTAAATGCAAATCTCGATGAAGATCATCCCACCTACATTGTCACCCCCACCAATTATTTAATATTTCGCGCCTAAGATAACGATCGCTAAGATCGTCGAACGTTGCCACGTTGAGCGCAAAACGTAGTTATTAAAAATGATGCGAGTTAATTTTTGTCTTTACCAATTATGAGAATCGTCGAAATCTATCTGGAAACACTTTCAACTGCATCCCGTCTCTTTTCGTTGAATTGAAATTGATCTTTTTTTCAATAAAAATCGATATAAATCACAATGCAGGGATGCTTCTGGCAACAGTGTCACCCCATCCACTTTTATAACGGTTTTCTGTCCGTCGATCGTAAATCATTTTTTCGCGGGTAAAATAACGGCTGTTAGAGAATCGTCGGACGTTGCCATATTTAAGAGATGCAAAAATCACGAAAATAATCGATCGATTTTAATAAGGGAAAAATGAAAGCCTACCTCGCTTTAAAGTTTCAAACTTGAATGGATAGGAGGAACGTCGGAAGCCTACCAAACTATAGTGGTTACGAAACCGCACCATTTTACGCGCGTTATAATAAACTCGATACGAAAATTCGCTTATTTTTCGCCTCCGGCGCACCCTTACCGAGATACGGCCCTTTTTCGAATTTTTTTTTTTCGATTTTAAAATGGCCATAACTCGAAAACGATTCGTTTTTTGGGAAAACGGAGTAATTTTTTGCCCTTATGGGGACGGTTTACGACCCCATTTTACGGGAATCCGGTGTCAGTTTCCCCATTTTCTTGATTTTGGTACCCCCGCCGGCATCGTATAGAGTATTGCGAGCCTACCTCGATTTAAAATTTAAAACTTGAATGGATAGGAGGAACGTCGGAAACCTACCAGGCTATAGTGGTTACGAATCCGCACCACTCTGCGCGTTATGTCGAGCTCGGTACGAAAATTCGCTTATTTTTCGCCTCCGACGCACCCTTACCGAGATACGGCCCTTTTTCGAAATTTTTTTTTCGATTTTAAAATGGCTATATCTCGAAAACGGTTCGTTTT